TTAGCAATTCAACATCAAATTACTTTACATACGCGAGTTTGTGTTCAGTGCTCTTCTATAGGCTTTATGTAGTTATGAGTAGCTCGTTTGTTTTTGAATTAATTTGATGTCTAGGATGGCAAGCTTTGAGGTGGTAATCATAAGTCTTTAATTGAATGATTTTAAAATCTTGCTTTATGTGCCTTTAGGCAAACTCATTAGACCAATTAAGATTAATCCACAGCTACTCTCCCTTGACAAAATCAGATCACAAAATTGTTCTCATCTCTATAAGCACATCACAATCCACAAACGCAACTCAAAGCACAAAATATGATAAAAAGATTCATTTCATTTCATCAACGAACAAAAGTCAACATTCAAAAGAATGCAGCATGGCAAAAATGTCATAACACTTCATAAATCATACGAATCATGTACATATGCAATATGCATAACAAAAGGATTCACATTTCAAACATTTCCTTTAATCTTTTATGATCACAAGATCTGACTTCAATTAACTTTTTCATCCTCCATCTACTCAATGCTGCTTTTTGCCTCTGATTTTTAAGTTTCCATTCCACTTTGTTGCAATTAAACTCATTGAAATAATGCTACTTCTTTGTGGATACAAATAGAAAATGAGACGAAGATGTGGAAGAAAAAAGAGTCACACACAAAAGGAATAGAGGAATTATTTCATTTGACAGGATATGCCGTAAGCATTTTCTTCGTCATTTATAGTTTTTTTTTGTCGAGGAAATGAATTTCCTTATTTGACGGAAAAATTAAGGAAGTTGGATTGATTGGAAGCTTGTTGATAAAAAACTCAATTTTGAGAGATTGTTATATTTAAGACAAAAGTCATTATATAGTCAAGTAAATTAGCCCTTAGCGAGTAAATCTTGACTCTTTGAACTTTAGTAAGCTACAAAACATTTTATTCTATTCCACATAAACCTAGTTTTAAGTTTATCATCATAATTTGGACAAATAGATTGTATTAATACTGATCAAGCAACTATCTTAAGTTCCTGTGAATTAGATTCTCAATCGAATGTATAATGTCTCAATATTTTCTTCCTTTTAACAAAACACTTTAAAAATCTCAATTCAACAAAGCAAATCAGCCTTAAAGTCAATGATTCAAAAGACTTTCTGTTATCTTTAAGTCATCTTCATTTTCTCATCTCTTTCTTTCCTAAGAGTTATAGTTCACTATATCTATTCATATTTCAGTTCTGTTTTGTTTATATAGAAAGATATCAAATCTTTTGTGAATTTCTCATTCCTTATCTTCTGCATATTGTTTTTGTCATATTATTATGTGTCGCTATTATGATTGTGATATCATAAAAAGAAGGAAAGAATTCTGATGGATTTCTTTACTAAATCATAATAAAAATATTTGTCTTATATCCTCAAATAATTGAACGTGAATTAGGTCATGCGATGGAGTTGGTGTTTGAATTATTTGAGTTGAGTTAACGCGCATAATTTGGATATCATCACAGCAGTTAAAATCCTCATGTGGAGCATAAAATTTGACTCAATTTCTGAGTATTCATAATTTTTTTAATGTCTTTCGAGCCACAGTAAATTCCCAACTCTGTGGTCATATAAAAATAAGAACATTAAAAAATGCGAGAACTAAAAATGTTCGATGATTTCACTTCCATTTTTTTCTGTGTTAAAATAACATTTTTAAAAGTTTATGAAGTAGAAAAAAAAATGTTTTATATCTTTGAATCTATGAGCAATCACCCCGCAAATTGTCGATAAAGTTTTTTTACAATTTTGATGAGTGATATTTCTCTGTCGTTTCTGCTATCCAGCTGGATATAGTAAAGAATGATTGTCTCTTATTTCTTACGAATTTTTGTAAGAGAACTAGACGTTAATGGCTGTGTTTTGTCTGTCTGATTATTTTTTTTTTTGTATTTCAGTGTCTTTGACTTTGTCAAAAACGATAGTCTAAATGTCCTTTAAGGTTATGGTTATGACATTCATAACCTAGGTTAAAGATTGAATGTATGAGTGCAATTCTAGAAACTCTAGTTTTGAGCTTAATAATAGGAAAATATTCATCAAAGAAACGTCTAAAGAGGATAGATAAGAGAAGTAGCATAGCTAATTGTCCTATTAAGGTATTGTAAGAATCAGGCGGTTAGCAGGAGGCTGATTGGGAATGAAAAGAAAAATCCTTCACTTCCAAAGATTATCACTGAGTCTCTGGTAAGAATAGTCACACTATTTCAATCTAAAATGCGCTTCTCAACATACTTCTAGTTGCCTTCATTACTAAATTAATTTTAGAACATTTTTTTCTCTCTTCCTCACTGTCGACAGCCATAAATCTTTCACCATCAAACTGCAAACAATTTGCTTGGGACTAAATTTAATTTTCGTTGTCAGTTCATGTAATCGTTTATTGCTCCGTAGTTAAATTTATGATTCTTTGACACATTTATGACTCTGTTCAACAGCAAGAACAGTTTGTGTTTTCGTCTCAATAAAGAAATTCCGTTTTGTGTAGCTTTATAAGAAAAATTTGATGTAGTGGGACTTAAATTGGAATTAAGTCGAGAAAGATATTGAAGATTTTTAATGTGTTTTTAAGTTTCAATTTTTTCGAAGACTTAATGGCAGTTTGGAGGTGCATTTTGGGTTGACGGAATTATTCCTCATTGCATAGGCTTCAGCTTCCGTGATTCTTAGGGACATAACTATCCTTTACTGTTAAATTATTGACACAGCTTTAGTTCTTGGTTCCTCGCTATCGAATTTTGGATCGAACTCAAGACCAAAACAAAAGATGGTTTCAGATTTCCAGTTTCATGCCTAACCACTCGACCATTGAGTCCTTTTTCTTGCATTGGCAGATTCACCTATATTTGGCTCGATATTCAATAAATTATTGTTATTTCTACACCTAACCTTGATCTTTCGTCCCAACAATTGCGCTTAATTCATTCCACACGACTAATTCCATCCTAAACTTCATCTCTTCCACGAGCTCACAGAAAATTTCATTCCACATCCGACACCAAAAATCATAAATCATAAAAATTTCTCCTTCCACTACTCAACATTTTCATGTGAAACTTGTCGGACGTTAAGAAGAACATTCCAACAAATTTATACTTTCTCTCGGGGAAGCTTAAAGAATGATTTAAGTAAGTGAGAACTCAATTAATTAAATCCAAAGAAGATATTTTAATTAAAACTTAATGAAATGTTTACCTAAGTGCTACGAAGAAGCACATCTAAGACATCACATCGTCTATCTTTTATTCGTACCCTCTATTTATACTCATCTTGAAAGACATTTTCTTTACAGACATTTTTAATACACACTGGACAAACACAAAGTTTCAATCTATCTTATGCAGTGCAAATATTTTGACTTTATCGGACGGAACAAATGCTTTTTAAGGAAAATGCCAATAAATCATTTCCAAAATAAACACATCGCACTTACTGTGTGGAGGCAGGCATCATCATTGGAGTCGTTATTTCGATTATACATATGGTTCTCCCATGCACAGCAAGCTCATATAGCTCTTCGTTGTGTATATAAATTTGATTTATTTTCATCTGATCTATCCGCATTGTGCTCCTCACATGTAAAGTTAGTTTTCCATTTCAATGGAAAATTGAAAAATGATTTATTGCGGAAGCGTACTCAAGTAGGTGATAAAGGAAGCAACAAGCTATGTTGCTTTATGATTATAAGAACACCTTGGCAATCAACACGATTCTCGTTAAGATTTCTTGTAGCTTTTGAAAGGTTCAAAGAAGAATTTGAGTGGATGTTGGTCAGGAGGTTGTAGAAATTGATGAAGGATGGCAGATTTATTGAGATTTTCAATGATTTTCCAATATTTGGGGTATAATTGTTGTATTTTTGAATAGTCATTGATGCGAAATCTAATTTAAAGGGGAATCACCTTGTAAGGTAGACTCTCTTGGAGAAAAATCTACATGGTCACCTTAGTCATTTCCTCAAATGGGCCCAAAAATATCAATTTAATTTATTGTAATTTTATTATATTTTAAATTCTACAACCTAACAGCTATGACTCTATCAACACGTGATGTTGAACATTTTTAAAGAATATCCAGCGAGGAAAAATCCAAAATTTCTGCTAAATCATCGAATATCGTTACCATAACAAAAATAAAATGTATTTAAAAGGATATTATACGATGTAAAAATATCAGCATAACATTGTATGGCATTAAGTAATGGTGTCCCTTTTGTCACCTGCATGACATTACAGAATGTATGTTGAAAAGAAGCATTATAGCGTTGTGTGTAAAAAAATGTTCAGACTCGACACATAAATCGATCGATAATCAAACTGAATGGTTTGAAAGTAAAACCGCAGAAAAAGAATGAAATAAAAGTGAACTTGATGTCAATGGCAACGCCAAAGCCACAAAAATGCAGAAAAGAAAAATAAAGTAAAAAATCCTCTTGCACTTATTTTATTTAATGCTGAAATTGATATTTGTTGGTGTTAAACATGATTTTAATGTGTCGGACATAAATTTGTAAAAAGTTTTATTTATATGTTTGAAGACATAATCCATGTTAAGCATATCAATGCGATATGTGTGGATTATTTTCAAATTAAAATTGTATAAATAAATCAATCGAATTTCAAATCATTTAGATTTTGTTTTTTGTTGCTTTATTTTCAGTTATTAAAAATTTAAATTATAATTATCTACAAATACTCTCAAACGGATGTTAATTATATTATTTGAATCATGTTGCGGACACTTTTAAATCTATTTGTTTCGAATGTTGCGTGACTAAAATTATGAAATTGTATTGTAGGTACTTTGTTTGAAATAGGATGAAGACTGAATTTTTGCTTACATTTGTGCATGGCATTATAAAATATTAGTAATACTTAGGTAAAAATCCTAAGTTCAAATCCTTAAAATGTTCGAACATTTCTTGTTAAACGTACATTGTTTCTTAATGTGGAAAAACTTATTTTTTGCATCTTCCAAAATCCATTTTCAACTTCCCCGCAACATGATTTGAGCAAAAGATTTATTTGTTATTTATTAATGAATTTAATAAATTTTCAAAGGAAAAAAAATCGTCAGTAACATTGGTCTTTGGCAGTGGATTACTTTAAGTATATTGCCACTATATTCGTCTAATTTTGAATTTTACCTGAATGTGATGATTGTAGAACCTATTCTCTTTTCACTAATCACGTGAGCGACTGCCCTTTCAGCTTCTTGTGGATTATAGACTTGATCTACGACGGTATTTAAAATTTCATCGTTAATATAGCCTGCGAGGATGTCTAAATTATTATGGCATAAATGTGGCTCATCTGCCCATTTCGGCTCGACTCCAAAAACAGTTGTTCCCATCCTCTTTAATGTTACATAAATCTGTATATAATGAAAATGTGTCTATAAAATTTTATGTACTGTACTATCTTTGCATTCTTTTATACCTTAAACATCATTCTCATAAAAATTCCATACTCGTCCGAGGGCATGATGCTTTCAACTGCATGAACTATCGTACCGTGTGGCGTTAAAAATCTTTCTATAAATTTTGTGCTATAATTTAAACGTGTTGTTATGAATACAACATCATATTTGACCTGTCGTGATAGAAGTTCATTCATAAAAGTCGATTGTTCGATGCTCTTCTCGTAAAAATTTGTCTCAAAGCTATCATTTGAAAATGTAATAATCTCATCAGCTCCTGTGTATTGAATGAAGTCAAAATGGAAATAAAATTTTATTGAGTAATTCATAATTTATGCCAATTCATTGGACATCAATACGAGTAAATTGGACTTTATTGGTAGAATATTGGAAAATTTATCTTCGAGGTTTTTCAGAAATAAAGGAAGTAATGCAAATCTGTTCATGAATCACTGGTGATTTGAGTGTGTAATTTGCTTGAATTGAATATAAATTAAGGAAGTAAATTGGTCTCTAGTGATTAATACACATTTTTGGCACAGATAATAAGTATTATTAGAGTTTTTTGCCAAACAAAATTACAAGTTGATAAGTACTGTAATGTCAATTGATGCTTTATAGTGAAAAAAAAAATGAGTTCGAATCTCAAAAACTTATGATAGTTGTAGGAACAGTTAATTCTTTTTTTTTTAAATATTAATATGTTTTTATATTCTGTGCCATTGAAATCAGAATGATAAATCTTCTATCAACTAAAAAGTGCACTTTAAATCTAGAATTTTTTTGCAACAAAAGTAAGTCACCTCTTTCCGCTATTATTTGACAGACATGTGTGAATAAGTGTGAAACATATAAAGCTTTTGGATATTGCAACAAACTATCAACCAGGAACAACACTTACCTAAAGCATTTACAACAGGTGCTGATCGTTGATGGCAAGTAACGACTACATAGCCTCCCCACTTTTTAATTAATTGTGTTAATATACATCCCACAGCACTACAACCATCCTGAATGAGAACCTTTTTGCCTATTGATGAATTTTCTGATAGCTTTGCCTTCTTGAGTGCTATTAGTGCCATACATCCATCATAAGGAAGAGATGCGGCTCCTTCAAATCCAATTAGTACAGGTTTCCTACCAATTCGTGACTCGTGTGCAACTACTAACTGTGAGGCAAGACCGATTTCATAAAAATTTGATGCTAACCAGACTTCATCTCCTATTTCTAATCCACTCTTTGAATCCTTTCCGACATTTTCGACAACGCCTGAACATGATCGACCTACAACTAATGGCATTTCTGGACTTCCAGAATTGTAACTTTGAATGATTCGTCTCAATATTTTTCCATAACCATGGGAAATTTCTACATCTAATCGGGTTATTGCAGCTGCCCTTACTCTGACTAAAATATCTGAACTAGATCTAAGATGAGGCAAATTTGTTTTACATAATGTGACATTCTGCAAATGAAGGGAAACTCATTAAAAATTCTTTTATTAAATCCCTTAATGGAATTTCTTACATCAGAGCCATAATATGATACGCAAGCCACAGACTTCATTATTGGATTTGCTATTGTTTTTCTTGCTAGCCATACTCCGAACATGCAACCAAACATACAGCCAGTACCCAATCCAACAAGAACGAAGTATGTGTTGTTTCTAGCGACTAGAAAGTAAAAAATCATTTTTGTTATGGTTAATAAATTGAAGATTATCGAGAAAGTAGTTCGTGCAGTGATTTCTATTTTATAGCTGAATTTAAAACTGCAATATTGGAATAAAAATACCATTTTTTTTAAAAAAAAAATAATTTAAATTGACATTTTACCAAAAATTTGTTAAAATTTTAATAAGTACTCATAGATCATTGGTTCAAGTATTGGACTCGAAACGGAGTCATAAGTTCGAATCTTCTTAAATTAATTAAGCATTAAATTTCAAGCGTTTGTTTCTTTTTTGGACATAAACTGTTTGATGCTTTTTTAAAGCCGATATCGCAAGAGAAAATTTCCACGAAAGCTCTCAATTCTTTTTTGTCTTTTGAATCTTTGAATTTTAAATTATTGAAACTAAGCTTAATTATTTTTTTAATTCATGGTTTCACAATAACATTTGTCATTTCTTTGAACGAACTTTTATAATTCAGTAATCCTGCACAATTTATATCTTAACCAGCTTAGACACATACTTTCATCTCTAAATATAATTTGCAGCTGTTCTACAACTGCATTCGGTGTACTAATTGACTCTCGTAGTCTTTTTAAAATTTCTAGCACTGTCCTCCAAACATTCTCGGCTTGTCCTTTGATTTCATTTAGTGCTGGATCGTGAATTACCTAAAAGTATGAAAGTGTAGTGGATTAGAATGAGATTGCTTAAGCTCCAATTCTGGATGCTTTCAAATTTGCTTATACTTGCTACTGGATCACAACAAACAAGTTTATATTTGTTGGATATAAACTTTAGAGCTGTCATCAATGATCCAGAACCATACGCAAGCTCGAAATCACTTACCCTCATTGCCATTTCCCTCGCATCATCAGAAGCTTGTCGAAAGACTCTTGCAGACGTCTCGTGTGCCATATTTAAGCGTACCTTTTAACGATTATTTGTTTGTATTAAAGCTCAATGGTAAGTTCGAGATCAAATCATTGGCAATGACATTTATTTTTTAGCAATGATATTACTTAATGGGGTTACAGACACTGCTTTCTTTGACTGATTTCTCATTTATACCTGCGTGTGTACATAAAGTTCTCTAAAGTTATCCATTCAAATCGTAAACTTGGAATATTATAGGAAATATTAAAATAACAAATAAGTTTTTTAACATAAAAATTTTATCACAGACAAGAAACACTTTTTATTTGTGCTTTATACTCAAAACTCGTTGTCAATTTATGTATCAGTAATGTTTATTTAACTTATCTACTGATTAATCATTACTTTTCGGCTCGATAATGTCACAAAATCGCGTAAAGCTTAGCTATCTTCGATTTTATTACATAAAAACGAAAAACACTTACACCAAGTTTCGAATAATTACAATCGACTTATACTTTATGAATGCGATTATCGCATGTAAACAAAACAGATCAGGTAGAAGCTTAATTAAACTTTTTAAAGTTATTTTACTTTTTTGATGATATAACGGATTTTTAAAATTCAAATTTTTGAAAAATATTCAAATTATACCGTTAAATAACAGTCACGCACGTGCGTAAAATTATTCGCATGGAGAAAATCTCGTTATCATATGATTTATATCAGTAACTCGCAATCAAGCTTATTCCTATTTCGTGTCTGTAAAAAACAGCTGAGCGAGTCAAAGGGAAAGGCAGTGTTGATATTTTTATATAAACAACAAATATAAACTTTATTCGTTTAAAAAATTCACTAAATCGCAAAAATTGTAAATGAACATTTCGTAGTATGGTTTTTGGCAATAATGTAATGATGATAATTGACATATCAAGATTAATAAAGAGGACAAAAGAAATAATTTATAAAGGATTTTAATACAAGCAAATAACAAGAAAGCAAGGAAGTAAGATTACTTTTTGAATCACAGTTGATCACGACGAAATATTAGTTTTGTTAAAATTTCCAGACATTTGCTTGACTAATCGCTTTCGTCTTTTTAATCGTTCGCATTTACTGCATTGCGTTATGAAGCATTTTTCATGATAACATGAGCCACAAGCAATACAACGCTTAACTTTATTCATCCACGGAAATATGACGTCTCGTTTGTTTGGGCAAAGTTCACAAATAAATCCTCGCGCTGTGCAGAGCTAAAATAGAATTAATTTTGAGAAAATAAATATGAAAATAAGTTAATGAATGGAATTGCTGTTTGACTGTTTACTATTGTCGTGCTTGTTTTCTTATCGCAAATTGTATGCATTGTGATTAATAAGATAGAAAATGAATGAGTCTGAATGACTAATTGGATTTTAATGAACTTTAAAGTTCCAATTTTCAACGATTTAATAAAATTTGAAAATCAACTTTCAAAAAATATTTCAATATTTTGAATTCAAAATAACCGATACGATTTGAATTAGGAAAGAACGTTAAGTTTAAAAAAAATACCCAGAAATACACAAAAACAAGACACAAATGCGATAAAAATCACTATACGACGGCATTCCAATGCATGATTCACTTACTTCACAATTATTTTTAATAATATGATCTTCACACTGCTTGATTATATCCTGAATAGAATTCGAGAATGTAGAATTTTTAACATTCATAAAGTCAACCATACTCCATATATCAACATCATCTATCCAATGATCAGACACAGCAGCTATCAATTCCTTCTCTCGCTCAGTAAATCGACATTCTTTAATGAAATCTGAGACATATTTGAGCTGTAATCGAGCTTCTCTTGCTGCCGTCAATGGCTTAACTTTCTGGTACAATTTTGGATTTAAATCACTTACATGAAATAATGGTAAATTCCAAATTTGATCAAGCCATTTATACGCAAAATTACTGACTGCAAATGGTGTAAAATCCCATTTGTCTAATACTCTAGCTGGTATGACTGAAACTTGCATTTTATGGCATGACGAACAGAAATACTTTCCAATATAATCACAATAACGAAGCTTATGGATGTAAGCTGGAGCAATTTTAATACCACAACCTGCACATCGATTTGCTTGTTGCAGCATGCATCGTTTCCTATCAGGCGGTGGATGGACAGTAAAAATAATTTGTTGACGAGGCGGTGCCCAATAAGAAGATCCACGAATTGTATTAAATGTAAAGCATTCATCTGGATTAATAGGATAGCTGTCAGGCACTGGAAGTAACTGTTGTGGTGCTTGAGATTCATTAACAAGCCATGAAAAGTTATTGACAGTTGGAATTTTGACATTTTTAAATTTGGACATTAAAGACAATGCGATGCTTTCAGCACAATGTGAATCTAAAGATGATGTCCATTCCATTTGTGGGGTATTTTCACTAATATCATCAGAACTTGATGAAGACTTTCTAATTTCAACTTGTGGCTCATCTGACGACACACTCGATTCTGTATCGTCCTCAACGGAACCAATAATGAATTTCTTAGCTTGGATTTTAGGTGGTGGCTGTAAATTCTTTTGTGAATTGTTATGTGATAAGCTTTGCTTAATTCGACAATCTTTTGGAATTTTGTATTTCTCATCAAACATCTTATTCCACTTGATTTGTTCACATGTTGAAATTATAGCTTCGGAATAATAAAAATGTAAGTTTTCACGTTCCAGCTCGACCTTCTGCCTTGAGCTGTTAATCGTGTGAATTAATTGCAACAAATTTTGACGACTTGATTTGCGTTTTTTGGTTCCATCTTTGCCATTTTTGAGTAAATTTGGTGTGACAATTGTCGATTTTGATCGAATCTTTTCACCAGCAACGACAGTTTCAGTAAGGAACAACTCTGATGGACTCGTACTGCATGATGCTTCCAACAAATCTGGACTATGAATCTTAGATGCAATTAATGGCGATTCAAAGAAACTAAAAAATGATCGTTTTGGTGTCAATGACAATTTAGATGAGGAATTACTCGATGCTGGACTTATCAATTGATTACTCGACCTAGAATCTGATGTGAAGCGATAATCAGTATGAATTTTGATGTCATCAACTTTTACAAGATGAATAGGCACGATTGATTGTTTAGAATTACTTAAATTATTCATGTTTGTTGATGCGGTGTCTCGATACTCAAAAAAAGGCACTTGATCGGTTCCAACTTCGCTCTTAAATGATACTCTCTTATTAAATGTACTATTATTTTTATTAATCGTTATTGTTTTTGATCGTGGACGATTGCTGTAACTTTCATGGCTTAAATTCGGCAAACTCTTACATCGTCGATGATTTAAAACTTTCACTTTTTCGACACTACTATTGCTGTAAGAGTCAAACGTCCTTGAAGTTCTTTTTAAGTGCGATAAAATTGATTTCCTTGGTATTTGTTGTGGCGTTGGAATAAATGGCTGTGATATGCTTCGTCTATGACCTGCTTTATTTTTCTCGTATAATGTTTTGTCGATTTTCGATAAGTGACTTCGCTGATTTGATTCCAACGCGAGAATGCAAAGCATCAAGGCATTCTGATAAGCCTCGGATCGAATAAAAGCAGATGACTCATAGCAATTTTTAATGTGTTCTGTGTCTGATAAAATGAAGGACAGGAAATTGGATAACTTTCCTTTATGGATATTCTCGAGAAGCCATTTATTAAAGTGGAGTCGCTGTTCGTCCACACATTTTTGATTGAGGAAGTCTAGAATGCCAAAAACTCGTCGAATATTCGGTTGACCCTAAAAATATGCAATTTTACGCATGAATAAATCAGTCGTAAATACTGATAAGAAGGGAATTCTGTTATGTCTGTATATTGACGTTGCATACATGCCATACAATAACAAACAATAAAAAGTGCGCATATAAAATTAATTTACTGGATGTTGTCTGATGTAACGCAAATACATTCTTACTTACATTTTTATCGAGAACTTTTAAATTACTGTAGAAGATCCGCTTTATTATATCTGCAAGATGCTTTGTGACTTCATCTTTTTTACTCAGAAATTCTTCCACATAATAAATTAAATCTTTTAACAAATTCCTATTTAAATTTTCATTATCAAACAATCTTTTATCATTTTCCACGACTTTTGCTTTGTTTTCCATCGCTTCAAACTACTCTCGGTGATACTCATTGATCTATAATAAAATATTTTTAATTTTTCTTTCACTATTTTTTTGCAGCACAAATAGCTTTGTGTGAATTCACGCAAATGGGTAGGAAAATACATACAGAATCAATACTGAGGCGCTTTAAAGTGTATCTGCTATCTAATATAACTTTTATTTGATTTAAATTAATTCAAGAATCTATTTAATTAAAATGAAATTTCTAAAATGAAAAAAATTGCTCGAAAAATGTAAACAAAAATTTAACGTACTTTTGAAATTCAAAATAGTCGTTTTTTCATAGACTTGTAAATCTTTCGCTTCTTTGTTAAGTATTTCCATTTAAACAACATTCACAAACTGTTGAACCAACAAATTTAATGAGTCATTGACAAAGTGACTGCTCAATCATATTTCCAACCATTAAAACCAGCTCTAAATGCATAAAAATGAGTAACTTTTCACCATTCATCACATTTCAGTTGACTTCGGATTAGACACATTCAAAAACAAAGGAATTCGCCCTACAAAAATTAAAGAAACTTCAAAACGAAGAGAATTTTTGTAAAAGTTAAAAAAATTAAATTAATCGATTAATACGAGTGAAAAAAAAAATTGTAACCGTGTAAAACAATCATTTGTAAGTGAAAATAAGTATAGCTTATGAATTTAAATGCATTACTGTGTGATTTAAGTGATTTGGGCGTTAAAGTGTAAAAGTTCATACTGACTCATAGCAATTAATCAATTTAATTCATGTTTTAAAGTACTGCATGATGCTTCCAATAAATCTGGACTATGAATCTTAGATGCAATTAATGGCGATTCAAAGAAACTAAAAAATGATCGTTTTGGTGTCAATGACAATTTAGATGAGGAATTACTCGATGCTGGACTTATCAATTGATTACTCGACCTAGAATCTGATGTGAAGCGATAATCAGTATGAATTTTGATGTCATCAACTTTTACAAGATGAATAGGCACGATTGATTGTTTAGAATTACTTAAATTATTCATGTTTGTTGATGCGGTGTCTCGATACTCAAAAAAAGGCACTTGATCGGTTCCAACTTCGCTCTTAAATGATACTCTCTTATTAAATGTATTATTATTTTTATTAATCGTTATTGTTTTTGATCGTGGACGATTGCTGTAACTTTCATGGCTTAAATTCGGCAAACTCTTACATCGTCGATGATTTAAAACTTTCACTTTTTCGACACTACTATTGCTGTAAGAGTCAAACGTCCTTGAAGTTCTTTTTAAGTGCGATAAAATTGATTTCCTTGGTATTTGTTGTGGCGTTGGAATAAATGGCTGTGATATGCTTCGTCTATGACCTGCTTTATTTTTCTTGTATAATGTTTTGTCGATTTTCGATAAGTGACTTCGCTGATTTGATTCCAACGCGAGAATGCAAAGCATCAAGGCATTCTGATAAGCCTCGGATCGAATAAAAGCAGATGACTCATAGCAATTTTTAATGTGTTCTGTGTCTGATAAAATGAAGGACAGGAAATTGGATAACTTTCCTTTATGGATATTCTCGAGAAGCCATTTATTAAAGTGGAGTCGCTGTTCGTCCACAGATTTTTGATTGAGGAAGTCTAGAATGCCAAAAACTCGTCGAATATTCGGTTGACCCTAAAAATATGCAATTTTACGCATGAATAAATCAGTCGTAAATACTGATAAGAAGGGAATTCTGTTATGTCTGTATATTGACGTTGCATACATGCCATACAATAACAAACAATAAAAAGTGCGCATATAAAATTAATTTACTGGATGTTGTCTGATGTAACGCAAATACATTGTTACTTACATTTTTATCGAGAACTTTTAAATTACTGTAGAAGATCCGCTTTATTATATCTGCAAGATGCTTTGTGACTTCATCTTTTTTACTCAGAAATTCTTCCACATAATAAATTAAATCTTTTAACAAATTCCTATTTAAATTTTCATTATCAAACAATTTTTTATCATTTTCCACGACTTTTGCTTTGTTTTCCATCGCTTTAAACTACTCTCGGTGATACTCATTGATCTATAATAAAATATTTTTAATTTTTCTTTCACTATTTTATTGCAGCACAAATAGCTTTGTGTGAATTCACACAAGCAAATGGGTAGGAAAATACTTACTGAATCAATACTGAGGCGCTTTAAAGTGTATCTGCTATCTAATATAACTTTTATTTGATTTAAATTACTTCAAGAATCTATTTAATTAAAATGAAATTTCTAAAATGAAAAAAATTGCTCGAAAAATGTAAACAAAAATTTAACGTACTTTTGAAATTCAAAATAGTCGTTTTTTCATAGACTTGTAAATCTTTTCGCTTCTTTGTTAAGTATTTCCATTTAAACAACATTCACAAACTGTTGAACCAACAAATTTAATAAGTCATTGACAAAGTGACTGCTCAATCATATTTCCAACCATTAAAACCAGCTCTAAATGCATAAAAATGAGTAACTTTTCACCATTCATCACATTTCAGTTGACTTCGGATTAGACACATTCAAAAACAAAGGAATTCGCCCTACAAAAATTAAAGAAACTTCAAAACGAAGAGAATTTTTGTAAAAGTTAAAAAAATTAAATTAATCGATTAATACGAGTGAAAAAAAAAATTGTAACCGTGTAAAACAATCATTTGTAAGTGAAAATAAGTATAGATTATGAATTTAAATGCATTACTGTGTGATTTAAGTGATTTGGGCGTTAAAGTGTAAAAGTTCATAGTGACTCATAGCAATTAATCAATTTAATTCATGTTTTAAAGTGAAATTCAAGGGCAATATTATGGCTTAAGAAGTTCTTAAACACAAAAAGTATAATATAACTTAATTAAGCTTGTTCAGTGAGTCATTAAGAAAATTCAATTATAGATTTTCTTATCAGCGATTCCACGACAATATTGAGCTGTAAAGTAGTAAGGAATGCATAATTCATAGCGGTTCAATAACTTGAGGAACAATTAATCATCTTTTATTGACGAAGACAGGCAGTTCTGCTACTTTGTGCATTTAAATGCTCGATCTGTGTGCCGTGTCCTTACAATTACCATAAATTCCCATTAGCACAGACAGTAATTATGAAATTAGAGGCTCGTTGGCTCGTTTAGCCTTGCAAATTAGACCGTACAGGAAATGAAACCTTAAATAGGTGAAAAATGTCTTCGGAAGTAGCTACAGCCTTCTTTTTATATCTCTCGTGTGCGTCTCTTTAAAATTGTGTTTTGGAGAAATTTCATTTCTTGTGTGGCTTGATTGACTACAATCGGAAAGAAAATTGAATTTTTACGTAATATTATTATTTCTTTATAGCATAAATTCCATAAATATCCAATCCAATCGAACTCATCATTTTTTCGATGCATGAGATTATACTAAGTTTATTTACGGCTTGAAAATTTACAAAAGAAAAAAGAGAAACTTATAATAATTATTATTATATATTGGAATCATATTCACACAAAATTTTCAATTTTTGTGAATATATTTTATATTCTGTTTTGCGAATCTATTTTTAACAGAAGTAAGAAGATTTTTATGTTTTTTTCAATGACTTCCAAACGCAGCAATATTCAGCTATAACAATATTACAGAAGCTATATAACTTAAGACTGATAACTTTGTAATTGAAGCGCATTTTTCTCGTCAGCTGAACTGTGAGATTGTCATGAAAGTGAAAGTTTGAACTGGAAGTAGAGCTTGGTATGACAATTTGGGGGTGTTTAGTGAACTTATGATGAATTACTTGCTTTTTGCATACTTTCATCTTTCTCATTATTGAGCTTCTAACGATTTGTGATACTTTAATTTTTATCGGCTTTGTAGAATTCAAATATTAAGTTTTGTAGAGTTTGAAATTTAACGGGTTTTCCAGAGTCAACTCTGTCGACTTAAAAAAGTAAATGCCAATCCCAACCGTACCTTTATTGAAAAGCATAACTAAACAATTTAATCAGCATTTTCAAATATCCCAAAAGCGAATGTTCGAACTCTTATCAAGCCAGTCAAAAAATGCATAACAATAAATTTGAATGCCATTAAACCATTTCCTCACACAGAGCACCTTAAGAATTCCAAAGTATGATAATAAGTTATACAACAAATTCGCATTTGATAAGATAATGACTAAGTGTCACTTCCAACCATCCCGTAAATCACAAGATACATTAATACATAACCGACTGTAGTCTATCGTCAAAATGAATAAATAATAATAGAGTCTAATGGAAAATTTGCTATTTTAAAAAACCTAAAGCCAGCTGTCAGACAATGGAAAATGTTTGTTGCCTCAGCTCATATATTCTCTGAGTCTGAGTTAACGATATGAATGAATTTTTTTCTTTTTCAACTGATTCTTTTAATAAACAAAACTTTAATGTTTATATTCAAGTAGCTTAATGGCCAAAAAGTTTTTTTTCATCCATCATTAAGTTTCAAACATTATTGAATGAGGAAGAAAATGCTGCAAGGTCAATTATTTTTGTGGAATTTCACGAGTTCTGTAATTTTCTAATTCCATAAATTCAAGTCGTTACAAAATTATCGATGACTCATACTGTGCAGACTAGTCGAGTAATGCGGTGTAACCCCAAAAAAAATACAGCCGATTGTTAATTAGTATTTCCCTTCACTTGACTTTCATTAGATGTGAGAAAAAAAAGTATAAATAAAAACTTTCATTGCTATAATTCTTGTGTGTTGATAACAATCAGCACGTTGCCAATGGATAAAAGTTACTCTAACGAAAAGAAGTTGTAAGGCATAGCAGTGAATAAAAAAAATGGGGTAGAAAGAGAAACAATGCGCCACATAGTAAATGACAACACGCTATGTTGTGTTCTTAACATAGATATGTTTGCATACATATATCGCATTGCCGACTTTATGCAATTTAATTGCTGAGAGGTTTACCGCTATATGACTTTTATGATAAACAATAAGAAAATTGTTGGTAAATGAGTTTTGGGAGTGGATTGATAAAGAGATTTACTCGGATGGAAAGCATATGCAAATAGGATTTTAATTAGAGAATGCATTCTTAGTCGCGTAGATTCTTATTAGGAAGTCAAGTGAATTTATGGAACATAATAATTATTTGCTAGCTTCTGCTTGTTTTGTGTTTAGTTCTTGGAACTGTGTCTTTAATTCTTAGCTGTTTTGGCAACATAGTGCTAATATTGATTGTAAACTTAGTAAGAATGCTTTTAGCTCTTTTAATTGTGCGTTTTTAAGTAAATTGTGAGTCAATCTGGTTGAAATATTCAAAATTTATTGATTTAGTCATCCACGAAGATTCACAGCCTGGAATTATGCTCTAAATAACCGAATAAAGATAATCCAAATTTAGAATGAATTCACTGATAAGGAAAAATTGGATCGATTTAGAGTTCTATGAGTGAGTAAAGTACTGAATATCGACTATTTTGAATTTTGGAAGGAAAAGGCAAAAAGGGAGGTTTTAAACGTCGTTGGCAGAGATGGGAGTGGGTATGAAACTTTGGCAAAGATATAAGATCTTTTAGACTCGAAGAAGGTTTGGTTCCTTCCCAATCAACCCACAACTCTCTTTAAACTCACTTTCTGACCATAATTTCATGCAGTCAAACTGCTTCTTCTAAAACCTACTCAAATCTATTCAAAAACAGCTCACAGACATTGTTAAGACTTAATATAGCATTTTTGTTGCATAGATTTCCACACTATAAAAACATACGGTCAATTTGATTCTATTCATAATCAACCCTGAACGAACTAGCAACAAGAAAGAAGAAGAAAAACCCAACAAAAATGCATTCAATTTACAAGTCAACACGGACGGATTTAAAATAAACACAACAATAACAAAAACCAGTCCATTAAGCCGAGATAAAATAAAAATGTAAATACAAAATGAGGTTTCACCGGTTCTTTCTCAATTCTGTGCGTTTTAAACCGTGTCGATTAATTCTAGCATTTCTAATTTCCATATTGAAAACATCTTCTTCACCTTACTTTGAGATCAAATGATTGAATTCCAATATTTTATTAAAGTAAATCCATTACTTGGAACGAAGAGATCAAAAGTAGGTTTACAGTCTTCTATCATCCGCTCAAGCAAGTTCATAAGGCATAAGAGTCATCCATTCCGGTTTGAAAAAGAGACATTAACATAGTAACAATTAACACAAAAGCGAAAAAAAAATCTTTTTTTCACACCGAATATTACTGACAATAGAATTTCCATAACGAACGGAGTTCTGCTGGATTTGTGAAAAGAAGTCTCATGATTTCATTGTATTTTAATAATTTAGACTTCTAGAATAATAAGAAGAAAGCTTGATGATTAAACATCTGACATCTGACGATGGCAATGAAATAAAAGTTTATAACAAAATTATAAATGTGGGACATTTCCTCTAGGTTGTATAGATATGCGGTGGGAAATATGCTGATTGTGGAATTATGGGTGATGCTTCCTACGTTATGGTTGTGAATGAAGCGCTGTTTTTGATAGACTAGCTTTGCATTTTGTAGGTTTTATGTTTTGTCTCTAAAGCTAGCTGGTTTTGTGGTTTTCTTGCAGAATAGATTCCAATATTGGATCAATAAACCAATATAATTTGGATAAATCTTAGTTTTGAGGATAATTTATAGCTTTTGAGGTTAGGTTTCTAAAGTAAGCTCCTTTTGAGTTATTAAGTACACTTTAGGATGAGTTATAGCTGTTCTCATCAAAACTATGAATAATTATTCAGTCAAACTATGCTTAAACCATACATTTTAAAGATTTTGAGGTTATATGACAAATTCAAAGAAATTATACTTCTCAACATTCAAAGCAATCAAATTCATGAAAACTAACTCCATTGTGCAACATTTCTCTCAAGTTATGCAAGAGTTTTAAGGTTATTAAAAAATATTAAACGGTTGTTAAAACTCTAAGCTTGTAAATCGATCAATAAATGCATGATTTGATATGGTATTAACAATAGTTCATAAGTAATATGCTTACAAATAACAAATCTTATTTTCTTGGGGCTTCAACTATTAATAAATTCAGACAAAATGATTTTCTAACAAGTCAATTGCTAAGTATAAGTAAAATTATCTTTAGCACATGCCACAAAAATAAAAGTCATGCGTAAATACTTGAAAATTTATCATCGATCAAAATAGATACTCTTTATCATCTGGAAAGTAATGAGAAGCGTTCTATGGTGTTTTATAATTAAACTTAAATCTATTAATTAAATTACTTGGTATGATTAGCGATAAATGGACAAATTTGTGCTCTTGCTACACAAATAGTCTGTTTCATGAGAAAGATAAGCAACAATGAATTGAATGTATCTACTGACGACTAATTGCAATGCGTTAATTAATTAATGATGAAGTAGTTCATGGAGTGATTCACTATTGGTGTCTATCCAGTCACTTCTACAAAACCGTTAAAAATTCAAATAAAAAATCAGTTAAAAATTTAAATCCTACAAAAACCGTTAAAGATTCAGTCAGACTCATTTTGTCAGCTCATTAGTCGTTTACAGCACGTCATTACCGAACGATGCCCTTGTTTTCTCGTCTCAATTTCACTTCATTTCATTTTCATTTCTTTATTAAGCACACACAAAAAAATATTTAAATACATTCCATTGTGTATGGATGTAATATGGCGAGCGGAGAAATGAAATGAAAATAATGTGATGCATTTGGATATTATTTTTAGCATTGTGACATTAATTAAATAAATGATGATTTAATTTACTTCTAGGTGTCGACCATTTATTTACAACTGACAAACTAGTTTAGTGCAACAATGTCAAAGAAGCCAAGCACGGGTCCCATATCGCTTCATAAAGTGATTATGGTCGGATCGGGAGGTGTCGGTAAAAGTGCTGTAAGAACAACAGATTTTTTTTGTTTTGTTGATTGTTTTTAATTATCTCTGCTAATGTTTGCTTTACAGCTCACGCTCCAATTTATGTATGATGAGTTTGTGGAAGATTATGAGCCGACTAAAGCTGACAGTTATCGAAAGAAAGTAAGCTTGCGTGATATTTACTTTTAGTTTTTAATTTATTAGCTAATTTTCGTGCCTTCTTCAAGGTGGTACTAGATGGAGAGGAAGTACAAATAGATATTCTCGATACAGCGGGGCAAGAGGACTATGCTGCCATTCGTGACAATTATTTTCGGAGTGGTGAAGGATTTCTTTGTGTATTTTCTATTACCGACGATGAGAGCTTCCAAGCTACTCAGGAATTTCGGTGAGTGTTTGTTTTGTGTCTAGCAGTAAAATTAACTTGTTAATTCAATATTGATTTCTTTAATAGAAATAGAGCTTTATTTTACTTATTTATAATTCCGTCTCGAATTTCTCGTGACTAAGTGCATTTTTAGCTGAATAAATGTTTTGCGAAATTAGATTTGTTAAACTTCCGTAAACCACTCTAATTTAGAGCATTTCTAATGTCCGAATATATGGTGAAATGTTTATGTTATGCTTTGAGTGCCAATAAGCTACTTCCTTGGTTTTTAAATGTGGTTTGGTTAGTAAAAGTAAAATTTGAAAGGGGAAGTTTTGATTTGAAAGCTTTCAAAGTAATTTTAAAAACTAGAAAAATCGAATTCTGCTTTAAACGGTTTTGTAAAATTCAAAATTTGACACTTTTGTAATATTAAATTATAAAAAACCGATAATATTCAAATTCTACAAAACCGGTAAAATTCAAAAATTACAAAACCACTAAAGTTTAAATTTTACAAAACCGTTAACAATTTCAATTACTTTAAAATGCGAAATGAAACATTTTTCGAACAATTCTTAAACAAAACACTTTTACAGCAAACCAGACCACATAAAAAAATCCATATTGATCTTCCCTCACTCAGTAGCTTTTCCTGCCTTTAATAACTTTTGCCAATAAAAAAAAGCTATAAAGAAGAAATGCTAATGTGGCTCACACACGGCTACCTCAATTCCACAACAGACACATGAATTCTAATATACAATAAATGCTTTTATCTTTTGGCAGAGAACAAATTTTGCGTGTGAAAAATGACGAGAACATCCCATTTCTATTAGTGGGCAACAAATGCGATTTGAATGACAAAAGAAAGGTTCCATTGTCTGAATGTCAAGCAAGAGCACAACAATGGGGCGGTGTTCCATATGTAGAAACGTCCGCAAAAACTCGCGAGAATGTTGATAAGGTTTGTACATCCACCAGCTCTTTTCTATTTGCTTGATTAATAATACTAATAATATTTTTTTAAGGTGTTTTTCGATTTAATGCGTGAAATTCGTTCAAGGAAAACAGAAGACTCAACAAAAGCGAGCGGTCGTGCAAAAGATAAATCAAAGCGAAGGAAGCTCAAATGTACATTACTATAGAGCACATTTAGCAATAATAGAATTGCTATAAATGCCATTTAAAAAATGAGGAAATGATATTTGTGTGTGTCTCGATACAGTCTTTAACTAATAATGTAAAAGTGAACCGTTTCTCCTCCTTTTGTAAATGAATTACATTTACATCCATTCTTAACAAAAAACAAAACAAACAAACAAACAAAAATAAGAAATGCCTCAATAATGATGGTTCAAATATTATTATGGCACGACTAGCAATTTTTCGTCATGAAAAGTTTAATAAAGAAGAAAAAAAATCAACAAGTATGTAGAAGCTTATTTATCTTTAATTGAGATAGTGAGAAATTTTTTACATAATCATTTCGTATGGTCTGTGAATTATATTAATCATATGTTAATCTTAATATATATGTGAAATTCAGTCGGCATTTCAGTTGAAGAAGATCACAGTTTGGAAGTTATTCATTAAAAGAGATGCATGAATTTTAAGCAATAATTTTAATAAGCCATAAAATTTATTTGGAACAATCGGAGCTTTTTGTGATTTATAATTAAAGATATGCTTTGAGGGATGGTTTAGAAATAACGTCCATTCAATGACTGAAGATTCTAATTGCGTTAAAATCAAATTTTAAAAACTTACGAACAAAAAATCAATTGTAGACGTCATTAACAAATGACCCAGCAAAAGATTTATGAAAATCTGCATGAGTGTGTCTGAAATATGCCCGAGTTTATTGCTCTTATTCAAAAATCTGTGTATATCAAATGATTATCCCAAAGTTCAAGCAATTAAACTGAGTTATGGATAATTAACCCGAATGACACGTCTGGATTTCTAGCAATAAAGAATAATTGTTGAAGCACTAATCGTAGCTTGAAACCAAAGTTGACATCTGAAGATTATCCATGATTAATGTCCTCACAGACCACAAACCAATTGTAAATTTTTATTTAATTTTAATAAAATATCTGTATTTGTAATATTAGCTAGATATGATTTTCAACTTTTTAAATTGCAAACATTAGACATTTATGTTATCACATTTACAAAAAGATTTTTGTCAAAAAAAATGATACTCGTTTCAGTGGGGAGTAAGATAGAGGGTCAAAGGGACTGGATTTCTTTTTTTGAGAGCTAATCTATTGAAATTTACAAGATCTAAGTAGTAAGTTCAAGTACTGAATAAGGAGACTTTTTCCTTGAAATGGAATAATTGAGAATAAACATAATAATCATAATCTAGTAAAAATTCACTAAAGACGGATAATTACTAAAAGAAATATTTAATGATTCCTTTTTCTTTCAAAATATCAATCATTATCTTTCTAATACTTCAAAACTCTAATTCAGTGCGTTTGTAAGATTCTGTTTGAAATTCCTTTAGATTATAAATCAGTCACTGCCATTTCATAATATTTAAAAAATTCGTTCGTAAATTCGATTCTTATGATTGATTGTCATATTTTGACGGCTATTCATCAACTTTCCACATTGTTGATGAACAAAAGTTCAAATTATTCCATTTTCTAAATGATTTACAATTTTTTTTGAAAATTGTCAAACTTAAGGGCAGATCTTACTAAGTATAACGTGGTTGATGGTTTAACTTTGTGACCCAACCCCAAAACACTGAAATTTAATAGATTTACTCGTAAAAAAAGAAATTCAAAATAAAATCAATTTTTTGTTTTTAAGGTTTTTAATCAAAATTCCACAATCAAGAAAAGTCGCAATTGCAAAGGAACCTCAAAAACAATGTTAATTAAATGATAAGAAATAAACATTCATACAACAAAACAAAATAATAAAAAGTGTAAATTACAAAAGTAAATATTTAGACATCATGAAGAGAGAAAAACCACAGAAATTTTTGCTAAATGAAGCTTTTGCTTCCGTTTTTTTTTAATTTTTTAAAGGAAATCTTTCAACAAGTTCCATAAATCAAACAAACTACTTAACAATCTTCGCTATTTTTCATTATAAACACATCTACAGCTTAAAAGTATGCTTAAACAAGCTTGAGTTCATTCATATTGCTATTCATATATCCCCAAACCAGAACAATGAAGGAATGAAATTTTATTTTCAATTTCCAACTTTTTAATAAACTTTGTGTATTTAAAGAATAAATAAAAGTAATATTTTATGTATGTGTAATTTTTAATTTTACTAGAAAATCATCTTTTGAATTAAGTTAATCAAGTTTTGTAAGTAAATGGATAAAAGAAACAACAATGGAATTAATTAGGTGTATCAAAGAATTTATCGGAAATGAAAATTATGTTTAAAAAATTCACGAGAAACAAAATTTTGTTGCAGTGTTAAACACAAAATCTTAAAAAAAAATCATTGGTAAAAATATCCTTTTTGGACAAAAATAAAGAAAAATTCAGTTAAGAAGTATCATAATCCAATTTTAAAGTGTTATTAATGTCATTTTCAGGTAATAGAATCCGTAAACTAATTCCTAAATGTGCTTAATTAGGTCAAGGATATTTTCAGTTTTCATACAAATTGAACAACTAGTTTCCCCCCAGAAATATGATTTCTTTAAGGGCAAATCCGTAAAATTATGAAACTGGCAAAAAGCGAGTTGTAATATTTCTCTACTTGGAAAAGTTTGAAAAATAAAAACTCGTTACAATTTTTGAACAAAAATAAACATTATTTTATCAATTTTTTACTTTTTTAATTAATTAAGCAATTAATTAGTGTGTTCTCGTTAATAAAGCTTTATTCAAGCTGTAAGTCACTGCATAATTTAGATACTTCAATTGATTATGATCTTAACGTTTTATAACTTTTCAAAATTTATCGTGTGTTACGAAAAAATACTCTAAACTGATGTTTTGCAACAAAGTTTTCTTGCAGGAGAGATTGACGCTTTTTTCTTTAATTTCTCTTAATTAAGTGCCTTTTTTTAACACCTGATAAAAGAATGTGATAGAAAATTAAATTTGAAATGCTATAAAACAAGTCTGGTGCTGTCCAGATTTATAATTAAGAACATTTTTGCTTTTTTTTTGAAAGTAAATTTCGATTGCATGAGAGATTGACGCCAGAAAAATCAAAATATCTCTTTAATTAATGATATATTTCATGCCAAAGTCATCGAAAGTTGTACATTTGTCGGAAATACGCATGTTTTGGTATTAAAATATCACTTAAATAGCCGAATAGAAGAGAAATTTGAGAAAAATAAAAATTTGGAGCTTTTTATTGTCCACGGATTTGCCCTTAACATATTCTCTAGACAGTTACGAATCTAAGGTTTAAAACAAAATTCTCTATCTCAACTCAAATGTCTTCAATAGCTGATCTCAAACTATTCTCATTTTATCTTCAATTTCCACATAATGAATGTTCTTAAAACAATTTTTATGGATCTCCGTTGTCACTTATGGGAATATATACGACGTGCGAAGTATGTTTTTTTTTCGATGCTCCACGCCAATTTCTTTCATAATAAGTATGTGTGGCTCGATTTTAAACAGCTAAAGTCAGAATTATTCCATCCACATATTGAGTTGATGACCTCTAGAGGGAAGTTTTTGGCTATGAAATCTTCATTAAGAAAGTTGGCATTGAGGAAAGGCTGTGTTTGCCAAGCGTCTATCCAAAACAGACTTAATGATTTGATTTAAATGGACAAAGAAGCCATCTGTTAATAAAATGATATCATCATTACAGACATCATGTCGATCGATAAGTACAGCTCAAGATAAATAACTAGTGAGACATAAGCATCAATAACTTTTATGAGAGATCTGAAGCTATCTCTGAGCAAAATAAGATATTTTTGTGAACCAATTGCTTCCATAACACCTGATCAAATATAGAGCACAGGATGTTTTTCTCAATATATTAAAATTTGACATTATTTCAGTCGTTTTAATAATCTTCGAGGAATAAGAAGCATCAAAATGAAATTTGTAGCTTGTTTTATATGCTTGCTGTTCATTTCTTATGGTGAATCAGGGAAATATTACCTTCAACCGAGAACATTTAAACTCAACAATGACTATAGAGAATTTTTGGTGAGTTGGACGTGACTAGCTGATCTCTGGAAGCTTGACTAGCTTGATCTTCAAAAACTCTACTTATGATCTTTAAAACTGATCAATAATTTAATGTTTCCAGGAAGAATACGAAAAGTATAAAATGTATGAACCAGACTACGCTAAGAACTATAAAAATGAGACCTTCTTGAAGCATAGAGCTCTCCAATTTGAAAGAATTAAGGCACAAATTAAGACACACAATGAAAACTATAAACTTGGGCTTGTTGATTACTCAAGAAAGACAATGCCTTACAGCGATTGGGGTCCTGAACTTAAGCATAAACGATTGTGTGGTGCCAGAATGAAGGCTAAACCAAGAGCTCTTTCTAATGCACAGCTGTTAAGGATAATTAAAGGATGGCCAAAACTTCCAAATAATACTCAAGTTAATAATTGCCAATTTCCTAATCCGGTTAGAGGTTTGTATCACTTTTACGTCAAATATGCAAATCTAAATTCCTAAAACTTTAATACCCAGATCAGCAAACTTGTGGATGTTGTTGGGCTTTCGCAACCATATCTGTTATTGAGAGCATATTAATGACAAAGAAAAACATCAAAACAGAATTGTCTGTTCAGCAACTGGTCGATTGTGATGACGCTGATGAAGGGTAGGTTAATTGTCATTTTTCAGGGGTGAGATATCCAAGTGTTGATCTTAGTCTATACCCGAATATTAAAGATATCATTAAGGTCACTATATGTTCCTATTAATGTCTCATCTTGTTTTTCATCAACAGCTGTGACGGTGGATGGCCAAGTAAGTATTTATAAATCTCCTCCTAGTTCCTATAAATTTGAATCCTTAAACCTCAAATTCAGCCACATCCTTCCGATACATGCAAGTCAATGGACTAACTTCATCAAAATTCTATCCATATAAAAATATGAAGCAACAAGCTTGTAGAAAAGCAGGCCACAGAAATGTTTTGCCACCACAGTTCATTGTGAAGCAAATTGAAGTCGAATTTAAAGGTGATGAAGAGTCTTTCAGGAAGCTGTTGTATAGGGTAGATACTAGCTTTTATGCTTACAAAGCTAATTTATTGAGAATTTCCAATTCTAGACTAGATCGCCTGTCGTAATTGCAGCTCATGCGAATGAAGCATTTATGAGTGTCTATACTGGAAGATATAAGAATGAAACTTGTCCTAAAAATGATCCTAATCATGCAATGGTGATGTGTGGATTTGGAACTGACAAGTTTGGTGATTATTGGCTGATCAGGTATGGTTTCGGGTCTATTTTGTGACGTTTTTCATAATTTTTTTTCACAGAAACTCATGGAGTCCTAATTGGGGAGAAAATGTGAGTTAATGCCTTGCACCTGATCACGTTTAGCAATTTTAAATTATTTTAAACTATAGGGCTTCATAAAAATGGCAGCAAACAACACCTGTGGAGTAGCTAGTTTCGCAATGTACCCTGTCATCGTTGGTGTAAACGAATTGGATCCATTCTTAGGAGAGATCTTTGAAAAGCAATTTAGAGATGACAATCGACGTTATAGAGATTAATTTGTCATCGCTATTAATTTAAATTCAATAAAAGTTTTTATAACAACTCTGGATTTTATAGCAAAAATTAACGGTTAAAAAAATTTCAAAATTTTCGTTAAAAAGTTTTTCAGGTCCAAAAGAAAACAACCAAACTTTTACTTTCTCTATTATTGTCTCGGATTCACAACAAAATCAATAAAATTTAATTAAACCATTTTAAACAGTCTCCAAGTGTTTTTAAACATTTCAACACTAATCATGGACAGCAAAAACATTGATCAGAAGCCAACAAACTTTGGAATTCACCGTCCAAAAGAGACTTTACAGAAAAACACTTTATCAGAGTTTTTGCCACAGTTGGAGAATTATCAGCCAACTATTCCTGATGCTGTGACTTGCTATTACATGAATGGGTCTGGATTAAACAGCAGCGATCCAAGAATGTAAGTTATATTATCATTTTATAAAATTTAAAAGATCCAGTAATTTCTATGAAGATCCAGCAGAACTATACGTAGATCCAGTAATGCTAATATTTCCTAATTTCTATTTACAGCGTCAGATTGATCTCAATTGCAGCTCAAAAGTTCATTTCTGATGTGGCAAATGATGCGTTACAATACTGTAAGACTAAAAGCTCAGCAGCGCCAGTAGCAAATAAGAATCAAAAGGATAAGGATGGAAAAGTCATAAAAGATAAGAAGTATGTCCTGACTGTTGACGATTTGGCACCTGCGCTCAATGAGAATTACGGCATTAAAGTAACACAGATGAAATATCTCACATAAATATATAAATAAAGATTTTAATAATTTTAACAAGGGATAACGGCTGTTTTTCATTCGAATTCGCTAGTTCTGTTTTTCTTGAGGAAGCGCATTTTTAATATCATCCTTAATATCTCACAATTTTTTTTTCGAAATTAACGTTTTTTGTAGAATTTAAAGCCATATAAATTACATTTTAAATTCTGAAAACCCTTCAACAGTTTTGTTTTGACAACCCGACAAAATAGTCTTGAAACATGGAAATTTGAAATTCATGCTAATTTTTCCCGCCAAAAATACACCAATACACTCACAAGTTACAACAACAAAATACGCTTACTTTTAGTCCGCATTTAAACTCGAAATTAATTAACTTAAACTTGGTAATCTCATCAGTTTTGTGTATTAAAATAACAATAAATCATGTCTGGAAGGAACTACGCTGAAGATATTGGTAAGAAATATCTAATAGTCCATAAATATACATAAAATAAAATGAAGTAAAGTAAAGTAAAGTAAACTTACCAATAAATCTTACAGAAACAATCAAAAACTTCTTGACGGAATTCTGTACAACGGATGATGAAGGAAATAAGGTCTTCAAGTATGCTGCTCAATTAACAAGACTAGCTCATCGAGAGCAAGTAAACATTACAATAGATTTAGATGATTTGGCTGATTATAACGAGTCATTGGCAGAAGCTATCCAACAAAATGCTCGCCGTTATGCTAGTTTCTTTGCAAATGTGATCCAGGAACTAATTCCAAATTATAAGGAACATGATGTTGTTGCCAAAGATTCTCTCGATGTTTACATTGAGCATCGGTTATTGATGGAAGCGCGTAATAGAAATCCAATGGACAATAAGGATCCACGCAATGCATTTCCTCCAGAATTGATGAGACGTTTTGAAGTCTCATTTAAGTCCTCCAATAATGATAAAGCCTTGTCTGTTCGTGAAATTAAGGCTGAACATATTGGAAAGTTAATGACTGTTCGTGGTATTGTTACTAGATGCACAGAAGTTAAGCCAATGATGGTCGTAGCTACTTATACATGCGATCGTTGTGGTGCTGAAACTTATCAGCCAGTTAATTCTTTAGCCTTTTTGCCTGCAACTGATTGTCCATCTGATGACTGTCGTATTAATAAAGCTGGTGGACGTTTGTATCTACAGACGAGAGGAAGTAAATTCGTTAAATTTCAAGAGATTAAGATTCAGGAACATGTAAGTAAAGCTATGGTTTCTAACGGCTATAAAATATTTGAAATTTAACTGCTGAAATAGATTATAACTTTTGAACCTAATTTGAACTTGATTCAAAATTTGAAAATATAACGGTTAAAATTGATTGATGAACTTTTATTTCTCCATCCCAACAATAGAGTGATCAAGTTCCAGTCGGTCACATTCCAAGAACCTTAACAATCTACTGTCGTGGTGAACAAAGTCGTCAAACTCAGCCTGGTGATCATGTATTAATTACTGGAGTTTTCTTACCCAAACAAAATCAAGGATTCCGTCAAATGCAAGGTGGATTATTAAGTGAGACATTTATGGAAGCTCACAGAATTGCGTCATTAAATAAATCAGATGAAAGTGAATCAATGTCAAATGACTTGACACCAGATCAAATTGATGAGCTTTCAAAAGGAGACTTTTATACTCGCATGGCTGCAAGTTTGGCACCAGAAATTTATGGACATCTTGATGTTAAGAAAGCTCTTTTATTGCTTCTAATTGGTGGTGTTGATAAAAGTCCTGAAGGCATGAAAATTCGTGGAAGCATTAATATCTGCTTAATGGGTGATCCTGGTGTTGCTAAGTCTCAATTACTTGGCTATATTAGTCGTCTTGCAACTCGATCACAATATACAACAGGTCGTGGATCAAGCGGTGTTGGTTTAACTGCTGCTGTCATGAAAGATCCACATACTGGAGAAATGACATTAGAAGGAGGAGCTTTAGTTCTAGCTGATCAAGGTGTATGCTGTATTGATGAGTTTGATAAAATGGCAGACACAGACAGAACAGCAATTCATGAAGTTATGGAACAGCAAACAATTTCAATCGCTAAAGCTGGAATTATGACTACATTAAATGCTCGTGTATCAATCTTAGCTGCTGCAAATCCTGCTTTTGGACGATACAACATTAAACGTACAATTGAGCAAAATATTCAACTTCCAGCTGCACTTTTGTCACGTTTTGATTTATTGTGGCTTATTCAGGATCGTCCAGATCGTGAGAATGATTTGAGACTTGCTAATCACATCACATTCGTTCATACACATGGTAAACAGCCACCGTCGACTGTTGAGGTACTAGATATGGGCTTAGTTCGTCGCTATATTGGATTATGTAAGCGAAAAAATCCAACAATTCCAGCAGATTTGACAGAATACATTGTTAATGCTTATGTTGAGCTCAGACGGGATGCTAGAAATAATCGAGACATGACATTCACATCCGCACGTAATTTACTTGGAATTTTGCGTTTATCGACAGCTTTGGCTCGTTTACGTCTTGCGAATAATGTTGAAAAGAGTGATGTTGCTGAAGCTCTCAGATTATTGGAAATGTCAAAGGATTCATTGAATCAGACACAGGAACAGCGCTCAAATAATGTCCACAACACATCCGATCGAATCTTCTCAATTATTCGAGAATTAGCTGGAAATCAAAAAACGGTTAAAATTTCTGATGTTATGGATCGTTGCACAACGAAAGGATATAAGCCAGATCAAGTTGACATTTGCATTGAGGAGTATGAGGAACTTAATGTCTGGCAAGTTAATCAGACACGCACCAAAATTACATTCATTTAAGTTTATCATTTTTTTGTTGCTATTTTCCATTTTCTCATTAATCTTTTATGTCTAATTTCGTTCATTCTTATCGTATTTGTAAGTTTCAATAGTTTAAAATTTTTGATAATAAAGAGACAATACAGTTCAAAACATAATTAAACAGCACGTGTCTAAAACCCGTTAACATTAAAATTCAAAAATTTTCAGAACCTCTCAAATGTTTTCAAAGCAAAAACTGGCAAAAACATTTGAAAGGTTTTAAAGGAAGTAAACTTAATAATCAAATTTTCTTTGCTACTTACGCTATTAAATCTCTTTCATGGTTTTCATAATCATTTTTTCAACATATTCCTTTACGTCATAATCTTCATCCCTAGCTACTTCCAGTAAATTTATTTCTATTTCCTCTTCATGCAAGTTTAAAGGATAAAATGAATTTTTGTAGCTTTCTTGGTCGATTTCTTCATCAGCTTCATATCCTTTTTCATCAACTTTTGTCACTTTATTAAATGGCTGGAAATCTTCATCCTCAGAGCTTGTTATGCAATGGAAAAGCTTTAAGCATGCCTTTAATCTATTTTTCTTCTTTTTGAACTTTTTTGGACTCAGCAAGTCTTTGTCGCATGGTTTAATCCTTTGAATCTCAACCTTTATCCAAATCCCACTGTTATCGGAAATATAAATGTCATCACCTTCTTCATAATCCATAAAAGCTGGTTCCTTGAATCGATGAAATAAATATTCTTGAACACAAACATCTTCAGTGAGTTTAATGATGACAGCACCTTCAAGCAAGCAGTAATCAGAAGGAAAATTGCCAAATTTGACATTGTTGGCTGATTTTTGGATGTTGATGATGTCGTCAAGGAATGGCATGGTTTGAAAAGGTTTGATAAATTGTTAAAATTATTTTGTCAAATTTTTAAAAGTGATTTTGAAAAGTTTTTGATTGCTTTGATTTATCTTTCAATTTAAATTCTTTATTGATCAGAATCATTGATATTCAAAGACCTTTTTAGAGTGAATTCGAGATATTTGAAAAAATTTCTGACTTCCAACTAGTATATTGTTAAAATCAATCAAGGTTGGGGATTCGATCATCATGATCAAATATAATAATTAAAGTAAGATTAAAAGTACATAAGTTGATTAATTTCGAACCCTTAAAATCAACTTAACATGATGTTTAGGTATCAAGTCATAAGACCTTTGTGTGCGAATGGTTATGCAACATTTTAAAAGTTTTAAAAAATTCTTATATTTGAGAACTTAGGTTCAGTTCTCACCAGAACAATAAGAATTATAAATATCTTATTAACAGTTTAAAAGCTCAAAGTTGAAACACAGACTTCCAAGGAAGTTCGATTCGACGAAATATTAAAAACCATATCGATTTTGAGCTTTGATTGATTTAGAATCTAAGATCTTAATAAAGAATTCATTTTAAAATCCAACTTGAACTTTTTTAAACATCCAGAGTTGTACAACTTATAATCAAGCATGTAAAATTAATTAATATGGTTTTGGCTGATACGAACAATTCTATGGTTTCGACCGTTACAGGTTCCAAGAAAACTTGTGAAAATATCTTATTTGTCTGTCTGCCATACAAAATTCGAAATTTCATACCCTGCAATTCGAAATTTTCGAAAATTAGGAAAAAATTAAAACTTAATAGTACCCTGTTTTTTCGTTATAAGCTAGTAGCTTAGAAGAATAAAAAAGTGATTTTTTTGGATCACTAGTAGCTTAGTAAGCAGTAGTAGCTTAGTAAGCAGTAGTAGCTTAGTAAAGAAATTGAACTTCAATGAAAATGTTGAATTTTTTAACTTAATTAAAGAAATTTTGCTATCTTCTCGATTTCATTTCATTGACAATGTCATAAAGCATTGAAACTGATACTTAGAAAGTTGAAAAAGATTAATTAAACTTTATTTTTGGTAGTAGCTTAGTAAAGATTACAAAAAATTTTCAAGTTCAAAAAAACTTTACTAAGCTAGTAGCTTAGTAACGAGTAGTAGCTTATAACGAAAAAACAGGGTAAGTAAGATTTTTATGAAATTTAGATGAAATATTATGTAGTCATTTAATGATAAGCATAATATAGATAAATGTTTTTCAAAACGATCAAAAACTCCAATAAAATCAACAAAATTGTAACGGTTTTTTTCAAATTTAAACTTTTCGAACGTGCATATTATAACTCCCCTAGACTTTCGATAAGTCCGTCGAACATGAATTGTTCGTATCAGGGTTTTGGATCATTACTGATTTATTAAACCAACTTTCAACCCTAGAAAATTTTTTGGTTCAAACTTGACAACATTCTTTAAGGATAGCCACCAATGTTTTGGACATAATTCAATAAATGAACGGAACTTAACCTCAACTAATCAACAGCAACCTAGAGAATCAAAATCAAAAGCCCCAAATCAACAGCTGTTTATTAAACAAAAAAAAAAGTCAGAGAAATTAATCAAAACTAGCACATGATCCATAAAAACGTATTCTCAAAAGAGCCATGCATGCTTACTATCCACACAAAAAAAAAAGCCCATGCACTGTGTATTGTTTACACATTATCCGAAAGTCATTACAAAAAGAGCAGTTAAGCACACGCACATCGTCGCTGACTGTCTACAAATTTTTTATTTATTTATTTATTTGTCAGGAAAGGAATTAATGCTGGCCTAAGCTTAGCTTTAATACAAAACAAAAAAAAATATTTCACTAATACAATTGCGCAACCGACCGAGCATACCAGTCCCAAGCATTAGAATTGAATCAGAAGAAAAAGATGTGAAAATAAAGAAATTCTTTAATCATCATACAGGTAGACATGAGGTACTTGAGCATAGAGAGAGAGTCAAAAGAAATGAAAGAAAAAAACCGGATTGACTGCTTTTTTTTGCTGTTTAGGTTCCTAAGAGAGAGAAAGACATCCAACACATCCATGAATTCCTCTCCAGCTACAAAATGCTTTTGACTTTAAGGCAGGCTCATGTGCAATGAGATAATTTAAGAAGGTGTTGAATGAAATTTCTTATGAGAATAATGAGAAATTGTGAGAGGAACTAGCCTGCACACCGTGTAAGATCATTTAATATTATTTTTTTCAACATCAGTTTAAAACCGTTCGCGAGTTTGTTTAGATCACAACGTAAGAAATAAGAGAAAAGAGACTTCTTTTTTTCGCGACGTTGCAATAAATATTGAATTAAAATTTATTATTGGATATGATTGTGAATTAAACTAGGAATTTAAAAAAAAAATTATTTGTGAATTGTGAAAAAAAATTGAAATTCAAAAAATAAAAAATAATAAAAAAAGTTTAATCTCATCCATAAATAAATTGTGAGAGAGCAACAGAGAGATTCAAGTGTATTTGTGAAGGAATGAAGTTTAAAGAATACAAAAAATAATATTAAAAAATATAAAATTCCTAGTCAAAGTGAAAAAAGAATTTGAAAAAATATTGAAAAAAAGGTTTGTTTAATGAAAAGTTTTAATAGAAAAAAAATGGAAATTATGATGTGATGTGAAATTGCTTAATGCGTGGAATCTAAGTTTGAGATATGCAGCATACAACTATTTTTTTTTGATTTGGAGTAATGTGAAAATTGAATAATTCTTTTTGGATGGAGTTAAGTCTTATTAATGACGAGATGTTTGATTTTATGGGGATATTATTGTGCCTATTGTTTGGTGTCTAGGTAGGATCTTTGGATTCTTCCTTTATTTTTTTTTTGATGCAGTCAAAGAATTGATTGGAAGGAATTTTTTGTTTATTTTTTGGATTTGTTGAATGAAAAAAAAAATCTTCAAAGTTGAATTTGTTAACAAAAATTGAAATTGTGGAATTTTTCGAGTTTATTCCAATAATATGAAATCAACTCAAATTTTAAGAATAGCTTTTAAAAAATTTCCACGTAATTCCTAATGGTTGATTTTTAATTTTTTGAACTTAATTCAAAAATTCAATAAATACTTTAACAATTTCAATAATTCTTGAAAATAAGTTGAAAATAAATCTTAAGGTTAATACGAACATTCAAGAGAAAAATTTACTAAGTTGTGGTTCATTCTAAAGAAGCCGGATTTGTTAAATGTCAAACAAAACAAAAATGTTAAATTTTACATTAATTGCAAAAATTGAGAAATTTGTGAAAAACATTCTCAAGAATCAAAGAATTAAATTGGTACCAAGGATGAATTAAGATAAACTAGCTTTAATCTTGCTCAAAAGAAGTCTTGTAATAGTCTGATTATTTGGGAAAATCATGAAGATTTCAAAATCAAAATTTTCTTTAACTTGATAAAAAAGATTTTGATAAATTAAATTTTAAACTCACAGAAGGTTTCCAGAAACCAAGATCACGATAATTTTTGATTATATTTAAAAAGTTTATATCATGTTGATCAACTCCACAAACCAGAAAGAAACTTAAATCTTCAAAACTCTAAAATTGAAATCAATAATTTCATGCTTAGTTTAATTTTTGATATTTTTAAATGAACAGATTTCATCGATTGCAGTGCCACTTTTGCTTTAAGTAAATTTTACCTTATAATATTCTGAATGAACCCTAACGTAATTTCTTTAAAATTTAAATCTTTAAAAATCTGCAATTAATTCAATGCCAAAAGTCAAAACCCGAAAAACTCTTTATTTTTTATTGTCAACCACATGGTCAAGAAATAACAATAAAACTTTATAAGCAGAAAATTGATGCTAGTAAAAAGATTGGTAGAAAAAAATTGGCGAATGACTCATCACAAATGAATTTTTATGAGATTTGTGGAATTTGATAAAATTTCTCTGTCAGAAAATCAATAAATGTCCATCTTTCAGTGAGATTAATCATATGAGAAATATGAAAAATTCGTGAATTGTAGAAATATTTTTGAATTTTAATTGAATTTTTGTTGAGAATTATATTTGGAAAAATATAATTGAATTTTCAAAAAAATGTCAAAGAGTTTTTGTGGAAAATAATTTAATTATTTATGATTATAGTTTCAAAGATTTTATCCAATTTTAACTTAATTTATTGAATTAACATTGAATTTGAATTAAATTCAACATTTTGTCGAAATCAAATCAAATGTTAAAGTTCATAAATTGATGAAGAGATTCAACTTATGACTATTATGCAATAGATTCACCAGTAATGGGTTCAATTCCTAAAAATAATCAAAATATCAGATATGTATGTCATCTGCGTTATCCTCTTTTGCCGCTGATCAAAAATTACTAGCAGTTCTCAAATAATCAGTGTTAATATTTTGGTAGATTTTGGATAAATTTACACTTAATATTATTGTTAATCATAAGAAATAGTCTGCAATTAGGTTTGAAAATTCAAATCTTAGCTTATGATTTCTTATATCCAAAAAACTAAATTGTGAAACTCAAAATTTACATCCAGAACTTTAAAATTTAAACTTTTCAAAAATCAAACCAACAAAAAAAATTAAATATTAAATCCGTGATAGTCAAAAAGCAGTTTTTTTTTTGGCGACACACTAGGAAAGAAATTTTAATGGCTTTTTGTAGAATCTGAAAGAAATATGATATGCTTAAACATTTTTGTCTATTTTGTGGTATGCTACGGCCTCATTTTCTCATCATTTTATGACTATGATGTTCTCTGCTTTGCTTTGAATTTAACAACGATTTGACAATATTTTTTGTAAGCTCGGTTCTAGATCGAGACGCAGCATTTTTCTACTGCCATAAAAAATTCTCTCTTTTTTTGGTCATCAAACGACTTGTTTTAATTAAAAATATTGCAAGGCATTTCACATAAAAATCCTTTTTTTCATAATTAACTGCCAGCGAGGGAATTCTCTGTTTTTTTGGCAATGCTGGATAT